TACAGCCCGACGAACAGAGAGGCATGCTTAAAGTAATTCAGAATTTGCTGTTGATGAAGAATATATGTACTTTGTGGGGTCTCTGAAGCTGTCTTCGGGGCGTTGCAAACATTTTCACAAAATGAACATACCCCATTCCCATTCTTCGTTGACGAATAGAACAAAAGGATGCACCATGCATATATATATGAGTACTTAATATCCACAATATATGTGAACACTTAATATCCACATTTTCGTATTCTTATTATTAGAGATACTCTGCTTTTGCCCGTGTCTTACGGTACTCACGAGAAACTTCTTACTAACACTCTGTGTAAAAGCATAAGGAAAAAGAGGACTCATCAAATTTTTACAATTCCATACACGATAACCTTTTGGGGTGTAACTATACATTGCCAATTTCTTGCTCCGTGCATCGAATTCAATAGGGATCCAGGGAATCCAATTCAGCAACCATATATTAACGCAAAGCGCATAATTGAATGTGTACGCTCTAAAACTACCATATACTTGAGAAAAAAAAATATGGTTTAGAAAATTCGTAGACACAAGTGCATTTATATATATTTGCCTAGTAGCATTCGTATTGATCAAGAAAGACCAAATTTACTTTTATTTTCCCTGTAATTGGTCAAAGACTCTCACCCAGTTTTCAATCAATTTGATCTTCAAAGTTAATATTAGCTTAAATAACATTTTCTTAGTTTATTTTATTAAATAATGCGCTTTAAAATTCGTGTTTACAAAATCTTTTTCACCAGGTCAACTTGTACGTTCCTCTTTCTTGTTTTTTCTTCACCAGACCAAGGTGCTGTAAATGAACCAAAAACTTTTTTCTCAAGATGTGGCTGCCTGATCAATAGCTGTTTGAAAACTGTCATTACTAGACTCACGTTTACTATATACTTGAAAAAAACAGTTTAATGTCCAACAAACAGCCTATATTTTGTTAATAAAGAGTCTTTAAGTGTATTATGTCAATTAATATTTAAAATCACTCTGCAGTTTCCCTGGAGAATATCATTCTAAAAATATTGTAGTGAAACTAAAAGTTTGAAAGAGCAGTTCGCTATACGGTTTTAAAAAAGCGCGTTTGAATATTTGAAATGGGTATAAACATATTTTTTTACTACAATAAATTCTTTATTAATTTTCACCATTATTCTCAAATCCTCTTCTTCATTCTGCGAAAAAACCGTAACGTACGTTTGGGATTTTAAGAGTGTGGACAAGAAAATTCATAATTCTATTGTCAAATTAATCACTAAAAAAATGTATCGCATACGTATAATTTCTTGCCAGCATCATCTAGTTCTTTCGATTCGCTCTAAGACGCAAATTTATTCAAGGGTCGTCTCGATGACTTCTAAATAACCGTAAGCACTCTTTAAACATATCTGTTAATGCATTGTGCAAATAAGAAATCAACAGATAAGGAAGACATTAGGCTATAAATTTCCAGCAGAGATGCAGAGATTTTATCGACCTAAGCAGTTTTTTTGAAACATTAAACCAATGACTTGTTGTATAACTTTAATTTTAAGGAAAAAATTCCTTTTAGGTAATGAATTTTTTCTTTAAAGCCATCTTTTAAACTAAGGAAAAGAATTTTTTCTGCAAAGTTTAAGTTAAACTTATTATTACAAGAGAACACGATGCCTGGTTAAACTATAAAAATGTCGAAGAATTTTTAACGCGTTCTATGCGTATTGTATGCAAAATCAAAAGCGAATAATACGAAAAATTGATACAAGTCTAAAAAATTTTAAATTGCAAAAATCCATATATGGTATGGTTGGATAAGAAACAAACCATTTCGCTTGTGACCGCTAATTGGGGTGGACTAAGCCACAATAGAAAATAATGTAAAAAGGTTTTTAATAAATTGAAAACTATGTTTAGGTGGCTTTAAAACCTCTGCACACGGAATATACGATGTTATTTATATTATACCACATTATAAATACTTACATTATAGTTGCTAAAGACTGTTAGAAGAGTGTCGAATTCAGGTTAGGGAAATAGAGGGAAACGCGTTTCCAGGAAGGTTTTTGTCGCCTTTTAAATGAAGATGTAGGCGTGAAGAAGTTGCTAACACTTTGAGTATCGCGCCAGGCCACAGTGGACAAAAACATACAACAAGTCACAATTGCTACAATGGCAAAACTATATGAATGGAAATGATTTGAAAAGATTGCCTGTGCAATATAGAAAGTTACAGTCAGACGAATTTTGACGTCCCTATAACAAATGCCTTCAGAAAGCGTTCATATCCACTTAAAACCATTTTCAAGACAAAATAACGAAAACTTAATAGCGAAACGAAAGGAGACAAGAAATTATAAGTTTATGATGAAGATTTTGATATTGATTATGAATTCGGGTGTGGAATTATAAATTGTTTCAGGTCAGCTGTATGATGCTGAGCTTGCAGCCTCACAGAAAAAATTGACGAAAAATTTATTACAATATGACTGCAACACAGTTCATAACATTAAACATATTTTGCTTGAAAAAAGGCAAGAAGCAACATCCTAATAATTATCATCTCTTTTATACGAACCTTTAATAGTACCCACGCACACACAGCATTTACTTTTTTGTAAGAAAATTGAAATTTTTAATTTCAATATCAAAAAGCAATATTTTTAAAATCCAAATGTGTTCCTAGCTACAGACTGGCAGATGGATTTCTTTAAATTCAAATTTGCATTAGCTACAATGCTTTTAACAGAGCCTTTTAAATTGAACATTTCTTAACACTTCTCAAAACTAATTTTTTCTATATGCTACCGAGAGTTCAGTCGGATATAATATATACAGCTAAACGGTAGTGAAACATCTATCTGAAACATTACATAAACTCAGAGTCTTCTCTACTTTTATTGAATTGTTGGCCATCAGCCATGCTGAAATGAATGGTCAAGGAAAAAATTTCGTTTTTTCCGATAGAAATTCAACTCTGCTTTTAATAAACAAAACAGGTGTAGACAATCAACGTGTATTTGAAATATATAAGATGATGTACGAATCACAAATTGAGGACTGTTAAGGGCTCGCTTCATAGCATAATATAGGGTGCCTTAACGGTCGACTTTGGTTGACTATAAAATAAATTAGTTCATTGAAAACTCTACCGCGCATGAGATTTGAACCCACGACAATTGTGTTGTTAGCGAGATCCTTAGCTTATTCGACCTCTCAGGCTGATGGCGTGTAATAGTAAAATGTTTCTTAGCAAAGAAAATAATCGAAAATCAAAATTTCTGTAGCAAAAACAAAAATGTGGGAGTACGTACACGAGCGGCCTAACTTCTCGCCAGAGATGTTATAAATGTTCATAAACCGTCATAAATAGTCATAAACAGTCATAAACCCTCATAAACATTTTAAAATTGAGCAGAGTTAAACATCAAAACCTATGTACACCTTCATGAACAGTCTTAAGCAGTCTTAAGCGGTTTTAAACACTTATAAACGCTTCAAAATTGAGCAGAGTTAAATATATAGACTGCACAGATTAAACAAGATATTTTCATAGCCAGCTTGACAGGTTTTCCACACCACCCTTGAAGTACCGTGATAGGCGCGTGTTTGAAATGGCTGACTCCCCTGTAGGTCTACACCATTATAAACTTAGCTTAAAACTATAATAATATTTACAATAATAATAATAAATAAATATAAGCTCCGTTTATATGTAATATATATACATAATACATATATGCATAAAAAATACATATCCACGGTTGCTGCTGTGCGGGCTTCTTGACATCTTGATGGTTGCAAAGGTAAATTAATATAATTATTAAATTTATATATAGAGATGACCACAAATCATTTGGCCTAAGGAAATGTCGAATTCTGCTGAATCGATAATGCAGGCGTATTCAATTTTTCTTTAAACTGAAATGAATAAAAACAATTGGATAATTTATACATAATAATAAAAAAGGCTAAATGCAAACTTACCTTTGGCGTACAGTGAATCTTCATCTATATGAGGCGGTGGGCGGTGGCGCTATTTAATCTAAAGTAAAAAATGAGAACGTAAATAAGTAATTTATTAATATATTTATATTATATTTCAAATACCTTTACTTTGCGTTTGTTTCCTTGTAAGGTTTTCCTTAAATAGCGTCGTGAATGGATCTTTTTAATTTAAAGGAAAAAATGAGAACGTAAGTAAGTAATTTATAAGTGAATTCATACAATGTTGTAATTATCTTAGAATGCAGACGCGTTCTGATCAATTCGCTCCATCATGTTTCTGCCTGTTAGCAGCGTAAGTAGTGCGAATCCCAGCAAATTAATTCGGTGCACCATGCCGCTACTGCAGGATCCTGCTGTCCTGAAGGAGGCAAGCCGTGCTCATTGCTCATTTCAGTGATACGGAGGTAATAGTTGTCCGTTTTTAGTTCTCTTTTATATCGGAACACCTGCAGATTCCTCAGACGATTGCACAATTTTACGATCTCCACAGCCGACCTGCTCCTCTTCCTTTTTGTCAAACATTTTTGAAGGAGGAACACGGTCCCGGCTTATCCTGTATGAGGCGAAAATTGTGCTAGGCATTCACCAAATGATCCATCAAGAAGGATAAATTTCTAATCGTCATCTCTGTTGCCTCAGCTAGGGCGTCCTTCGCAAAAACTCTCATGGAGTAGTCGCTAACTTCCTGGAGTTCGCCTTTGAGCTCGCCACAAGTTTTGTCCGATATGGAGCTCCGATGAACTAAATTCACGAACTTTGCCATCATCGCGAAGATCTCGCAGATCCGTTTGGTAATCTCGGGACCGTTTCTGAACACATCTTCATTAATTGCCGCTTGTAGCGAGGCTAGCGTCGCGTCGTTGAATAATTGCACCAGTTCATTCGTGTAGCGCGGTGCTGTGCCCGATTGAACAGCGCCTCTCCAGGCCCAGAATGGAGAAGTGGGCGCGAGTCTTTTGTAAAATTTTCCAATTGTCGTATGGTCGTATTGTTGTTAGCTGTTTTTAATTTTTCCCTCTAATCCAATCTTCCGCGCCAGTTTGAGATTGTGTTGTAGTACTCTTGCATCTAAATTCCCACGTGTGGAGGACGCTCATCAGCATATTAAAAGCCGTCATCAGTCTTCTTACGGCGAAGACGGGGCCCGTTTTGTGGGCACACGTTTTCCTCTTGGTGCGCTCGTCGAAATATTTGCAGCCATGTAGTGTTTCCTCCGCCCGCGAATACACTACCCGATGATTGGTGAGCACTTCATCGAAGTGTAATTGGACAATTTTGTCGTTTGGAATCAATTTCTTCACGACTTCTTTTAGCTCCCCAATGTCCGGCACCACGCTGTCAGTTTCTGGTCCACCCTCCTGGCCTTCATATCTTCCTAGGCGCCGTTGCAATTCCTCATTTCTAGCTTGAAGCCGGTAAACCTCCTGAATAAGCCTCGCATGCGCCGATATCGAGGGTTCGCTGGTGTAAATGCCGTCAATAACATTTACAGGACTTTGTATGTCTACCCTACCTACTACGCAGGGCACCGTAGTCAATCCGTGTGTCATTTCTAATGTCTCCTGAACGTCCGTAGCTTCTTCTCTCCCTATGTCACCTGTTCACATCTCTCTCCCACTTGTGTCACCTGTTTTTCTATTGCATCCTGAACGTCCGTCGCTTCTTCTCCCCCTACTACCATATCTCTCACTTGTGTCAACCTGTTTTACTCCTACGTCGAATCCCAAAAAACCTACCTCGTCCTCGCTGTCAGTCTCAAGCTGTAAATTTTTGCTGTCACGTATATTTCCGGTCATTGTGTTTACTGCCAACGCCAACCTCAAGCTTCGCGCGTACCAAATATAGTCTATCATTCTTGTCTGACCGCCCCGTCTTCTACCCACCCTTCTCAAACTATATCTAACTGAATTTTTCTTACAACGTCTTTCACAGTAACTCACTCACCAATTTCCTCCGTCAGTCGGTCGGCTAACTTCCCATACAGTACTCCGGATAAACTACGTCCGCTACTACTAATCCACCAGCCCGGATATTCTTTCAATAACTGACTAAATATTCTGTACGAAATTTTCACCTTTTATTATATAGCCCATCGGAATCTCAATGACAACTTCTTTGGATGACAAAAAGACACAGCTGATGTCATTGATCGATGTAGTCTTCTATCTGAGTGTCTGTCTGTCTGTCTTTTTGGTTGGGTACAGGAAAAAGCGCACAGCAATAGTGAAATTAGGTAAACACCATAACTCGGAACCATTAATATAAAGCTAGAATCCACAAAAACGTAATCGAAATAAAATGCTTACAATCCAGGGCGGACATTTATCTTTCTTCACATATTTCCTAGTATTATCTGAAAGATTACGACAAAAATAAAAATCCCATAAATTCGCAAAAATTTGACTTTTTTCTGTTGGTTGTTATAATTCGTAATATTCAAAACCATTTCTTAACATTCGTTTTTCGTATAACTCATAATGAAAAGGTGGTTACCTTGATGAGAATGAAAGAGTAGAATCAAAGGAAGATGAAGAAAGAAAGTAAACATAATTTACTTGAGTTGATTTGATTTGAAATTGTATGAAAACATGCTGAAGCTGGAGTAGTCTTGTTGACATGCAAAGTAACATCTTAAGGATGGCTGCATACTTCATCGACGACTAGCGCACATGGCGCGTACACGCTTTCGCTGTTTGGATGCAATATTTGCATTTTTAAATCCTATAAAGGATTACTTGCGTAAGATAAGCTTTTGATGAAATAATTTTTAATATTCTTTCAGCATTAAAAGAGAAAAAGTTTTTGCGACAGATTCAAACTGAAAAGTATTTAACTCATTCATTTATTTTTGCCATCACATCGAGTGTTCTATTTTCTCGTAAAGAGACGCGTACACGTACATACGTGTTAAATTAGATTTTGATGCTAAATTGTTTCTTTTAGATACTCAAGCCTCGTAACATGATTAAGCGTGTTCTTCAACTTTCGTTCTTTATTTATTTATTTTGATAAAGATCGTGGAGCAATAACAATGTAATGAGTCTTCTTAGCCGGCCTTCGGGGGGAAGATTTAAAATTTCCTTTTATTGAGTATTAAGCGGGGTACAGCGTTGCGTAGAGGCTGGCTAGGAAAGGAACCGGCGAGGTGACCCGACTTTGTAGCGCTTTTACCGTTTTTTTTTCTGCACGCGTAGTTAGAGCTTTTTCTTTCGCTCTTTTTTTTGGATGTCGCGGAGCACTACAAAAAAAAAGAAACCGGATACGTTCCCAGTGTCATAGCTGCCTTGGTTTGTCTCCGGGTGGGTATTCGTATGTAAACACAAAAAAATATGGTCCTCGGTCCTTCAGGGATGGCGACTAACAACTAGCCAGTACATCCCCTATCCGTAATATCAGTTGTCCTGCAAAGTCCTTCAGGGATGACGACTAACAACTAGCCAGTACATCCCCTATCCGTAAAGTCAAAAAAAAAGGTTGCCTTGTCAAATTGTCCGTACACACTTACCTTAGGCGGCTATGATACAAATTGAAAGATTCTGTGTGATGAGCTGCTCTTTTATAGCCGGAGTCTCGCTCGCTTGTCCCATTTCCAACATGTTCTATGCCTTGGGGTATTATTTTATGTGTGTGCTTAACTTAGGTTGGCTGCTGTCGCAACCTTTGTTGCGACCTACATGAAACAACTTGTACATAACTTACTATCAACTTACATCTAGCTTATTGCTATGTTTGATCAAATGCCTACTCAACACGTACCCAGGTACCAAATCGCGTGATTTATGCACCATGTGGGTACTTGTTGCTTAGACTATGTGTTCAATACGTTTCTATAGTTTTATACCAGCAAGTGTATTTTCCTGTTCTTGTGTATTTGTGCGTGTTTGTTTATATTTAGCATGTGTGTACGCTTGCTCCTTGTTCCCTACCTACGTTTATTTTTGTGTGTTTTGTAAGCCTTAACAGCTTTGAAGATTTCATATGACCTAACGGTGCTATACTTTTTGTGCAATGTTTCTGCAGTTTATACACTTGCCGGTGTTTAAAGCATAGAGATTTTTGCGTGGTGCTAAAGTCTACGCGTTTTGCATGTTTGTATATGCTTATTCCTTATTTTCCTACCTACGTTTATTTCTGTATGTTTTGTATGCCCTAACAGCGTTAAAGATTTCATATGCCCTATCTGTGCAATGTTTATGCCGTTTACACACTTTGCATGTGTTTTTATATTTTACAGCATAGAGACTTTTGCATGCTCGTATATGCTTGTCCCTTATTTTCCTACCTACATTTATTTCTGTGTGTCTTGTTTGCCCTAACATGCGGCTTCTGTACATTGTTTCTTATTAATACTTTCATACAGGTTGGGTTCTGAGGCTTTGTACATAGTTTCTTATTAATACTTTTATACAGGTTGGGCCCTGAGGCTTTGTATGTAGTTTCTTGTTTATACTTTTATACAGGTTGGGTTCTGAGGTTTTGTACATAGTTTCTTATTTTTGGGCTAGAGGAGGTTGTTCATGTTTTTGTTACCCCAGACAGTCGTTCACGGACAGATCAGACTGACGGGTTGTTCGCTGTGGCTGACTGTCTTAGGTGGGCGAAGGAAGCAAAACGCTTCCTTACAACAAGAAAAATCATATTGGGGTCACACAATGCGAAATCAAAAAAAATAACATCTCCTACAGCTCATACTACTAGAGAAAATTAACGAAAGTCGTGGTGTGTACAGAAAGCAACCATCTTGGCTTCGCAATATCATGTATCATGGAAGGGCATAAACATTACTGAACATTTGCTAACAGCTGCAAGAGATAGAGACGTGTTTTTTGAAATTGTTAGAAACATAATATAAAACAATTTGATACACGTGCTCTTGCCCATGTTTAAATATGCGCCACAGATCAAGAAAAATATGCTTGCGCTCAATGACTAGTTTTAGTGAAAGTGGTTCGAGTCAGACATTTTTTACTGTCCACCTTTCTCCTTATATGATATAAAAGGAAATTAGCATTTTTAGTTGCTCTCGTTAAAAAAGGATAAAAACATAACATTACCTTCTTACACGCTAAGTAAATGTAGAAATCTTGAATAGATCTTTCTTTGAACATCCTCCCATATTCACAATAGTATAAGCTGGACGTACATGGCAGCAACAAATAATTTTTAGAATTCTATGGCGAAAGTTGTTAGTGACTTGTTTCCGATGTGACATAAGAGTGCGCTGCGCTAAATTTTACTGAAGTTGCTCCGTTTCTCGGAGGCCTTTCTCATACAAAACTTCTTTTATACTGAAATGATCTAATTTTTAGAATTTTATGTAGAAAATTATTTTGGCACTTATTTATTACCGCAATAAAATCAATAAAAAGCAACCTTTTAAACTTTTAAAAAAGTTTTTTTGGTTTCTAAGTATAATACGTAATAATATTTTAATAATTTTTTTTTAATAATAATAATATTTCAATAATATTTTTGCGGCGGTCGCGTTAATACGTAAGTACCATTATTTTTCGAATTGGTATTTATTTTCAGAGCAGCCGATATGTTATATAAACTATATTCAATAAGCATGCAGAATCCATCGTGTATCTGATATATCCGGCTTTGTGCGTCTTATTAATAAAATATTGACTTGGCGAGAGCTTATTGTTGTTCGTTGTTCATGTTTTTCCAAGAAAACCAAATTAATCTCGTTTTTATGATAGTTAAAGTGCGTGACAACCGTCTGTAAATGTTTCACATTTAAACCTACCATAAGAACGGAACCCATTGGAAAAATGAACCAAATTGTTCTTGGTTACAGACCGATATAATAGCAGAGAAATGTCGACGATTTTGCTGTTTACATATCTTTACCTATATGATCTTAAGAAATGAAAGTTCCGCTTTTTCCATGATCATTTAATATTTCTTTTAATAGCACCATAGTTTACCCAATCCTATCAATTTTAGCTTTAAGCATTGTTTATAGAACGAACTCACGATTGCGCACCTCATCAATTCATTTTTTTTAATAGTAAATATGTTAATAGCTTCGAATAGAAAGAGATAACTATTAAAAAGCTTTCGCCACATTCGTCATTTCGCTAGATCACAATAAAAAATTTATAAGCGTGATACAGTTAACTTCTGTATATAGGTAACATATTCGCGACAGGACGAATCTTACATAGCCATCATAATAATATTTTGGCGCTTTGTAAATGCAAGAGTGCCATTTAGCTGACAAAAAGCACTTTTCCATAGAAATATAAATTTTGTAATTTAAAATTCTTTTAATTATTCAAAATTTAATACAAAAAAAAAACATGACCATAAAATGTGCTTAATCCGAGTTCAATATGTGATGTGATAAAAAAACAATGGCGAATATAACCTCAATAATTGTTGTTGCATTCCGACAACATAACCATAGCGAATATAACATCAATAACTGTTGTTGTATACCGCCAATATAACGCACGGGTACAATTTGTGCTGAATTTAAAAATGGAAAGTGAAAGTTCGATTTACGTTTGGTAAATCTACTTAGAAAAATTTCATCTTTGCAAACTTCAACAAACATGTAAGTAAGTCAGACTTTCCAAGTACTTCACTGCTGCTTGCGATTAGCTCTATAAGGTTTCTAAATAGATGCAATGAATACATCTCCCGTTAAATTAGTTGCCGGATTTAGATTTTGTGTGAGAGGCATAAATTACCTAAGTTCGCGATAAATATATTTATTGGCATTACAACTACATATGAATGCAGATGTACAATAAATATATTTATCGCATTACAACTACATATGAATGCAGATGTACAATCAGAAATAATCAAAATAAAATGAGAAAAATTGTAAATATAGTAGAGGCATGATCTTCTGGAAGAGTTCCCAAAAATATGGAAATTGTTAGGTGAGACAGCTACACCAAAAAAAGTTTAAGAGAAAAAACTAAGAGTAAGTAAAAGGAATGAAAATCGAAAGGAGGAAATGGAGTAAAAGGTGAAATGTATTGTGGGAATTACTAGTTGTATTTAATTTCTAGTAAACCAAATAAATATTCCTAAGTCAATCGAAATATTATTTTAGAAGTTTTTCAATGAAGTCTGTCCACTGGTTATGAACTGGGTGTAAGATACCACCCGCTGCAATGCAAAGCATTTTCGATAAATTGTTTAAATGCAGTCTTACCGATAAAGTTATTCTTTTTTTATTAAATATTTAATTTACAATCTATTTAGGCAGTTGAGTGAATAAATAAAAGGAAACTTTAAAAATTTAAAAAAATCATTTGAATATAATTTAGAGAACAAAAATAAACTAACCCCTAAACGAAAGGTCCATGATGCCTTTTTAAATTGGATTTC